TGAAAAAGAAATGCTAAATAGAGCTCCTAGGTGAAAGATGCTTGAGAAAATGTTCAATTGCCTTGTGTAAGCACCGTATAAAGTTTAAGAGGGTTTGGGCACTGCACACAGTTATTGGGTTGGTTCTGTTGCAGGATTTTGAACTGCCTGCATTCTGAGTATAGCCTACCTTATTTAAAAAGGGGAAGGACAAAGATGCTTTTTGTGATTGTGCGAACCGGTTCTCGACTAAGTCTTTGCACTGCACTAGGATGTATCTTATAAAATATTGGATATGGTGAGAATTATTAAGGGATTATGAGGTTGCTTAATCAGATTGGGAGAAATTTAAGCAAATAGACTTATTTAGGGAAGGTAGCTCGAGGGCTCAAAAATTGAGTTATGAAATTGGAGAAGGCAGGTTGGAAAAATTAAAACTCATAAAAGAGACTTGAATTCCAACTTTTAATTTGTTTTTAAAATGTTTTAATTCATTGAAAAGGAGAAGTTTGGTGGATTTTTTTTGCTTGGATATTTGAACCCTTTTGTATCGTATATAACTGGATTATGCAGCTCTCTTTTGGATGTCTACAGCTTGGTGACAATTCCATGTATATTTTTCTTTTTCTCTTTTGCATTTGAAAATAAAAATTCCCATTGCCCATAAATTTTGCACGTGTTCTCTTTTTCATCCCAGTGAATTACTTTTGGTTGATGATTTGTTGGTTCTCACAACTAATTAAGTTTTGAAATGTTTGGCTAATTTGACTTTGTATGATAGATTGAAACTCTTTTGTGATAACTTGCTCCAACTAATGTCTATTGACAGATCTGAACAACCATGCTATTGTTTAGGTTCATTGGAGAAGAGAGTTTTCTTCAGGAAACTTTTGAAAAGTTCATAATGGAACAAAAGGAAAAGGCAAAAGAGAAGGAACGAAAGCATAGGGAGGATAAGGTATTTCAATTGTATTGATGATCTTATGCTTATCCATTACTACTTAGTTATGGCGATTAACCCATTGAGGTTACTTCCTTAAAATGCTTCCTGGCATGTGGTGAAATTTACAAAAGTTGAGACCAACTCTTCTGGATAGAGAAGAGACTGCTAGTTGGTAACTTGGTACACTTGTTAAGAAGAAGAGGGATACACGTATTTAGGTATTTAGAAGTTGCGATCTTAATATGGAGGAAGGTTGATTGTCATTGAATTCAGAAGAAATTCACAAGAGTTTCAATATTGTACTCTTATTGTAACTGTCAACGTTGAGATGGTATCCTGTTATTATGACCTCCCAAACTATGCCTTTATTTACTATCTATAGTAATTTTATTTGAGACATGAATTGGTTAATCATGTGTTATTCTCCTGCAAATGTTATTTGTGGTGGAGTTACTCGAGATTTCATGGGTTTGTAGAAGACAAATTTTAACTTATAATTTCAGCCTTTTAGTGTGTACCTTTAGCTTTCAGTTCACTTTTGATTACAATTCATGCAATTTGAGATGATTATTATTGTTTTGCAGGCCAGAAAAGATAAAGACAGAAGGTATAGGGAGAAGAAGAAAGAGAAACACCGAAGAGACAAGGAGAAAGTAGTTGAAAGCAGGAAAGGGAAAGAGAGACCCAAGAGTGATGGAACGGACAGTGATAGAACAGAGTCCCACAGTTTTGAAGAGAGAGAAAGGTCAGGCAGAGACAGGGACAGTAAACACAGGAAGCGGCACTCAAGTGACAATACAAGTTTGGATGAAAACGAGAAAGATCGGCCTAGGAACTCTCACAGACACAGTGATGAACGCAAAAAATTGAAGCGGGTAATACACTCTCGTTCTCATTTATCTGTTAAATGGTTATACAGTCTTTCTGTTTTGTAGTATGATCGTTTAAGTTAAGATTACAAAATCTAGTTTCTGCATGATAGGTGGAACTGCACTCGAGGACTCCCGAAATTGCTTCAGATAGCCAATACAAGAAACAGAGGAGAGATCATAGGGATTCTTACAGGAGTGGTGATCATGATGAGTACAGGGGTGGAGAAATTGATGAGGATGGGGAGGTTCGGTAGCTTTTTGGAGTAATAATTTATAATTCTTGCTCGTCTCTTGTAAATAGCATTGAATTTGCTTAGAGTTCTGCTGCAGTAAGTGTACTTCAGATTAGATTTGCTCCAGTCTTTTTAATTGTCATGTGGACTTTTGGTATTGTAGAGTCATAAGCAACATAGAGTTTTTTGAGATATTTATGGAAGGAAAAAAGATTTTGAACTTGGCGCTTTCGGTTCCTTTCTTGGCAATTTGGCCATCTTGTTAGCTGTAATCGTATTGTTCTGAGATCAAATAACCATAGAGATGCTATCTAAAATTTTGAATTATGTACCTGCTGTGGCTCTCAGTGGCTCTCAGTCTGACCCTACTAGGTATTTCTTATTTCTAAGGCTTGACAGATTAATATTACCCAGTGAATCCTTAGGGCTTCATTCCTAGCATCCATAATAAACAGGTTTTCGAGTGGTGTATAGGTTGTGCAACGTGCATTCACCGATTGTATCCTGATAACACTTGAGTATTGAGAGTGCGATCGAAATAGCTCCATTATGCTTTTTTCTGCAGATTGACTTTCATCAGTGTCACAAAATTCTATATTTTTCTGCTCCTTTTTATGCTTATAACAGCTGGTTCTAATGCCTCCGTTTAAGCATTGGGTTTTGTTGCATGGCTTTTGCCTCGTCTCTTGAACTTTCTCTGTGCATCTTGCACTACCTAATAAATTCAGTTCAATGGAAGATACAGCCTGATAATTTCTTGTCAAACTTACCGCTTTGAACTAAATCGATAATTGTTTTATACACAGGTGAAACTCAAAATGCAGTTATTAAAAAAAAATAAAAAAGGGCTCTCCAAATCCACCCTTACTTCCAAGTAGTGCGTGGAGAATTAGGAGGTAAATAATTTGTTCACAAAAGTTGGTCATTGGGTATGGATAGGCTGTGGAGCTAACAAAGATTACCAGTTTTATAAGATGATTAATGTCTATTCAGAGATGGCCAATGAATGGAATCGGGGGCTGTGTTATTACAAGTTCAGCAGAGACGTATCTATCCGCAAAATGCAAGCCCATGCATGCCCGCTGAAATCACCAGCCAAATTTTCCTAATCGAAGTGTTCTTCCTGTTACTCTTTTTCTTTATTCTTTTGTCAAGTCAGAGTACGGTCAACAAATTTTTCCGACAACCTGAAACTGCATTTCACAAGTGGTGAAAGGACTTGTGTAACTGTTGTGATTGTGTTTTCTGCTTCTGCAATCTCCTTTTTCTTTTTCGTTTTTGTTTTGTATATATACATACATATATATATATATATATGTATGTGCGTGTGTAGTCACTAGTCAGCACAAACGTCCGGGCAAAAGCAGAGACCCGCATGCATGATGATTGAGACTAATGGTATTTGTACGAGCGGCCGATAGCAATAACCATCGACCGCGGCAAAAGGCTTCACAGGTTGCATGATTGAGGCCACAAAACATGTATTGTAAGTTTTATAACCATTGGTTCCACCAAGAATCTCTAGCAGTCCATAATCAAATGGCGGCACCTCATTAATAATGATTGAACTCAACCTTCAAACCTCCACCGCAGGTTGCATGTTTCCTCCTCGATCAACTACGTTTTGTGTGTGTGTGTGTGTGTGTGTTAGGGCATTTTGATGGGACAATTGCAGAATTGTCTAGAATTGTCTGTTCGTACCTCAAGAAACTGATCAGGTGGAGGTTGAAAAGATACAGTCATAGTGGTGACAAGATTAACGTGGAGTTATAAAGTTGAAATTCTGACAAAACAGAAAAGTTTCCATCACCTTTTATGGCTCACTTATCATCCTAACGAACATTCTAACTTTTAATTTTTAAACCTACCCCACCATATGTGTTTATGTATGTATGTGTGTGTGTATGGCTCATGGTCAACTTTTGCATTGTTAGAACTAGCCATTTTATGCAATTGGATCTTTCCTTAATACAAGATAATAATCACTCGGTGCTAGTAATTAACTGAATCATTATGGGTTATGATCCCCGTGGTCCGGTCAACTCTCAGAATCTCTGAGGAGCAGGAGCATGCATGCTAGACTTCATCATGATCAGTGCGGGCATATGTGTAGCTCATTGTGGGCTGTTGCACCTCAAGGACATTGGGCATCATCATGAACATGTTAATTGGTTTTTAGCACTTATGCATCCGTATTTGTCATTTTTAATTGTTGTCCTTGCATTAATTGCTGCTTTTCACCGAGTTTTGAAGATTTTCTCCATGAAATTAAATCATTTGTACGTAATCTATTGATCTTCTCTCAAGTCTAACCAATTCAAAGATATCTCGTACCATTCAAAAGTAACAAATCAAGTTTGTTTCAAGAGTTGTCGACTTTTGGAGTTAAATTTGGGATTAAGTTTAATTAACTAACTTCAAAAGTCTGATAAAAAAAAATTCAAAAGTAACAAATCAGGGAGCTTAATGAATGCTAGAATGAAATAGTACACTTTCCATTAATTCCGCTGCTCTTTATTCTTGAAGTTTTCCATTTCCACGTGCATTTCACCTTTTCAAGAAAACAGCGCACAACTTAAAAAATGTGCAAATGAGAGATTGTACTACAAATATGAAAGCCCAAAATAGGAAAGAAATTGCTAATTAAGCTGATCTAATTTTCCAAATTAAGTTGTGGGCAGGATTACTTTTAAATGGCATGGTGATGGTACGTGGCATCCCTGCTTAGAAGGAGCATACAGATAGAACCTTCCGACTTAACCGCAGTCAATTGCTTGTGGATACTTCCGTGTAAAAGGCAACATCCCAGAAACCTGAAACACTCGGCCAAATGTCTCTTCTAGATAACAAGTCCTTGCTCACATACATATTTCATCCATTTTGACTAATCCATCCAATAGAGTATTACACCATTCATGAACCTTCTAGAGGTCTTCATAGTTCATATTATTCATCATAGTTGTAGTAGTCGTATTATTCAACCATGAAAAAGATAGGCCAAGCATTTTTCTAGCATTTGTCAAACAAATTCAGGGCCGTCCGGGTTACTTTCAGCATCCGGATAAACTACTACCCATCTCACATCCTCCCCAGCAAGCCCCTCTTTCCTCTCCCTCCCTATAAATATACATATATATTGCCCTCAACAGTCTTCATATCTTTGCCTACCCTTCTTGGGAGAAGATAGATATATAGAATATTAGGCACTATCTAGGTATCACAAAAATGTCCAAGGTTAGCACCCTTTGCATCGTATCCCTTCTACTTTTTCTTACCCTATCTTACGCGGTTGCCCGGCCGGTGGCTACATTTCAGGACGTAACTCCGATGGAAACTCATCATGGTCATCGTGTGGTATGATGCATATCAACTCATCTGATGGTCATCTTTATTATTATTATTATTATTATTTGTTTCTGATTTTGGCTCGAGTACTGGTTCATACACATATTTTGATGCTAGTAATTAATCTGTGTCTTTGGTCTTGTACGTAGAATGATCATGTTGAGAAGGTAGATAAAGAGGAGAGTTGCGAAGGACTTGGAGAAGATGAGTGCTTGATGAGAAGAACACTGGAGGCTCATCTCGACTATATATACACGCAGGGGCAAAAGCAGCCCTGACGATATAGTATATATCTTTGTTCTTACTCCCTCATTTTTCTCATGTCTTATGCATGAGCATTTGTGCGTATATATATTGTATATGATCCTTCTACACATCATATATAGTCTCGGTTGTTTGTGATCAATGCGAATGTATCTTGGGTACCCGGTAAACATTTGTCTTGATTACTTGCCGGATTGGGATGCATGGTGCAAATTCAAAACTTGCTCATTAATTTGACTGTATAGGATATCAAAGCCACCTATCCGTTTTACAGGACTCGATGCATCAACAGATTTATGTTGTTCTTTGACATGGGCACACCTCTGCATCTAATCAAGACGGCATACCTCGTGTTTCTCGTAGATCTACGGTCGGCATGATAATAATACTAATGTTTTATCCAATTCCAACTCGGGTGATTATTGGCCAGGACCGCAAAAGCCCAGCAACAAGATATTTAGAGCGCCTAAAGCCAAGAATATATTCGTCAACTACAACTTTAATTACACATTGTCCTTTGCCATGGCATGCACTTTATTACTAAAATCTAACGGACCAAAGTTGAAAGTTTACCATTTAATGTGATGATACTAAGTAAAGACATTTCCTTCCACTAATTATTTTGGATCACGAGGCTCAAAATCATACTAGGAAACCAAATGATAGCCGTTCCAGCTAGTTCTTCCACTCACTTTGCCCCAACCAAAATTAATGCACCCAATATGCCTGGTGTGTAGTGTGGCTCGCTATGCCATGCTTTATGATCCCTGGCCATCACAACTTCACAAGACAAGCTAGCTTGCTGCCTTCTTAAAACACTTTCGTTTTTTCTTTTTTTTTCCTCCGATGGCAGTTAGTATTTGGTTGGAATCAATGAGCTGAACTGAACTGTTATGCGTTGCTGTTCCATGTTTCTTGGGGGGGTTATGTTTTAATGCTCCAGACCGGCATCAGTGGACCGGATCTTTCGTGCTAAGGCTGACCTCATAAATTTATCCAATTCGTCTACTAAGCTGGAGTCTCATATTGCACAGCAACCCTAAACCTGTTTCATTTAATCAGAAAGAAAATTCATGGGACGCAGAACTCTGACTTCGAGCATTCAACCACGAAGTTATATTGTCCATTTTAATAGTCAGCTATAACACATCTCTGACAAATTGCAAAGGGACAAACCTTTTCTTCTTTCTTCATAACTTTGAACTTTCTAGAGATACAAAAGTTGAAAATTCTAGCATTTGCTAGAAAAATTTGGTCTCCAGGAGACAGCTATTTTGCTATCTAAAGACTAAGAGCTGACGTTATCATTAAGGGGATGGATTTAATTTATATTAATTGGCAACAACCGGCGGGCGAGAAATGGTCACCAAAAAAAAATCTTAACGACTCTGGCCGGGCATATGGATTTATATTCACTGCATGGTTTGTTGTGCTGGTTATGCTACTACAGAAGGGCAAAATATTGGCCCATAACGTTGCATTAATTACAAGGATCTTGCCATCTTTGACTTTGATTTCCATGTTTGTGACTGGTGGCTCTTAGAAGTTTGAATTCAGCGTGGTCGTGGTTGTGGTTGGATGAACGAGAGAGCATGCGTTTGCGTCGTTCTTTATATTTGCCGGTTCATGCAAGTCGATCAGCCATTGGTTTGCAGATGTGAGCCAGATAGATAGATGATCTCGTGAGAGAGCATATATCAGTAAATAGTAAATCGACATGACTCACTGACCAAGAAATAATAACTATTCATCTTCGACACAGATTTCGCCTATCTATTCGTCATCAATAATATTAATTGGTTGAAAGGGTCAAGTAGCTGATTAGGTCAATGAGCAGCGAAACGTTTTTCCCTTCTTATTAGAAACAGAATCGAATGGCGGCAGGGGATTGATGGGCAGACAAGCTTCGCCAATAGCAAAAATTCTTGGCTCTATGACTCTTCTTAATTTCGATAGAAAAAAAGTAGAAGAAATCTTCATCCATAAGGAAAAAAGAAGCAGAAGACTCTTCTTGGAGATTGAAATTGACTGGTCAGTGAACGTATTACAGTTCTAAGTAATCATATACATATGTCAATTATTTTGGTTAAACAAGACGTGAAGAAATCTAATGGCGAAACTTTAATCCCACAATCATTCATTCATTTGCCTGATATCCGCATAGTTTTTAGTTACAATATACTAGAATTTACTTTAATATAAAGGTCAATGTGTGAGCAGGTGTAATTCAAATAATTTCTTCTCATTCTAATTAGTCTTTTTCCTTTTTCTTCCTTTTTTGGGTGCCTGGTAAAATTCCGGATATGAACAATGGGCCTGTAAACGACGTTTTCTTTTGCCTGGTAAAATAGCCTTCATTGGCATGCTATTTTACCAACAACAGGTGAGCTACCCTACTGCTTATTGCCTTATTCTTACCTGCCAATTGTGTGGTCTCTTCTCCATCATTTTTCTTTTAACAAAAAAAAAAAAAAAGCAAAATTTACCCCAAGCATAAGTACAGCTGTAGATATATAATATAGTCAGTCAGGTTAACATCTTTAAACAAGTATCTCAGAATCCTTGGAGTTGGCCAGTGATCAAAAAAGACCGTTAGAATCTTTTCTGGTGTCAGATTTGGGGTTGAATTCTTTACAGGGCAAAAAGTCTTAGTGGCCCTCAAACTATTACTCGGATGAACTTTTGCCTCCCAAACAATTAAAAGTAAACTTTTGGCTCCCGATCTATCCAAAGTATAAAATGTTAGACCTTCTGTCAAATTCAGCAGTTAATACCAACGGAATCTACGACCACGTGAGATGTATGCCGAATACGAAGGGCATTTTTGTCCATAATGAGCTGTGTTCCACTCGATAAAATGGGACTTCTTCCCGAACTTGAACAAAGAAAAACTCCATTGCAGCCAAAGAAGTTGTTGAACTAGAAGCATGCGAGAAACCAACAATCCGACTTTCCCATTGTGCAGGTGTGAGAAAATGTCGAGGGTGATAACTTCGTGGACCTCAAGAAATCCTGGGCGGAGATTTGCGGTGTGCGCGGATGGTGGCTGCAGATTTTGGCAATGGATTGACAAGGAGATGTGCAGCTGGTCAACGGAGATCATACCTGGGCTTCTGAAAAGAATTAATGTAGCTGAACAGCAAAGAGATGCGTATGAAGAAGAAGTAAGAAGACAAGAAAGGAGAATCGCAAAGTTGAAGGTCAAAGTGAAAGAACTAGAAAAAAAATCGAGAAAAATGCAGTTTTGGTACCTAAACTATGATGCAGGAGCGGTTTTAGTCCCCAAATTTTGGACGAAAGCAAATGTGGTACCCGATCTTTCAAATTTTGAGCACATTAAGTACCTTTGATGATTTTTTCTCAAATTGCTACCAAAAAAAGTCATGTGACAGTCACATGTCCGGCCACAATTGTATAAAAAAGGGCCAAAAAAATGTCAAATGCCATTCTAATACTAAATATTAAATTTAAGGACTAATAACGTAATAAACAAAAAACCCAAGGACCCAAGGACTAAATAACATCATGAGTCAATTAAAAAATAAAAGAAGAAGACAACATCACATAGTATCTGTTTCGTTCCTCTTGCTTCGCTCTCAAATAGAAAACCCAAGAACCGAACTTCAACAAAAATTCAAGTTGGCTCCAAAAATTCGAAAAAACTTGGCAGATTCTGGGGAGCATCAAACAATTGTGAACCGATATGTCAATCAGAAGCGAAGAATTGAATAATGAGCCACCCCCAAATGATGGTAAGTAAATACGACTGACCTCATCTAATTTTTACAGCAATATTGAGTTTAGGGTGAAATTAGAAGTAACAAAATATCATTTATCATCTGAAAAAACTAATCTTTGGGAATGTTAAAGCAAATGGACAATGGATTCTCCTAGAAATTACAAAAATAGTTTTAATCCAGAGTATAATCTACTGTATATCCCATTTTTATGTTTCAATATTTGTTAGTTGTAGTTAAAATATCAAATTTTTTTTGCATTGCAATCGGCATTTTATAAGTGGTTTTGTTGAAGTATTAAACCCTTAGTATTAATTTGAATGTTGATCAATATGTCTTAATTTTCTTACATACATAATAGTGATATGTGCTCTCGTTTAACTGTTTGAACTATTCTTCTTGAAATATAGGAAATGGTAGCACTAAAATCACCATGAGATGCTATATTTGGGGAAAATGTATAAATGGGCCTGATGCACATTATGAGGGAGGGGAAATATGTGTGTTTGATTATGTAGAAGTGACTGGGATTAGTCTGTTTGAGATGGATAGAATGCTTGAAAATGAAGCAAGGGTCTACGGCGATAAAAGGTACCATATTCTTGTAGAAGAGTATGGATTTCGCAGGCTTTGGCATGATAAGGAATTATATGCTTATTGTGCAGATTATCTAGATTATGGTAGGCATGTTGACTTATACATTGAGGTTTCTTTTGCTGAAATTTTGAGGTTACAAATGGGGTATGATTATGAGGAGGATGATTACGATGATGATTATGTTTTAGAGGGAGGTATAAATGGTGAATCTGAAGAACACAATGGTTGCAATTCAGATGCTAGCTCAGGGGAATTTTCTGGTAAGGACTCGGACTATGAGATGGAGGAAGAGGATGATGATGATTATGAAGATAATGTAGATCAGAATGTAGAATGGTTGGGGATTGAGAATCAAGTAGAAGAGGAAAGAAAAATGATTGCTAAAGGCAAAATGATTGCTGCAGCTCAGAGGGATATAGGAAGTGATTCTGAGAGTGATGTTGATAACTCTGATGTAGATGCTACGCCAGATTCTGAATCTGATTTTGAAAGTCTACATGGAAGTGGTGATGAACAATGTACGAAACCACCAATGTTTAATCCCAAGGACATGCATAATCCTAAAATTAAACTTAAACAATATTTTAGCAATTTCAAGGAGTTTAAGGAAGCGGTCAGAACCTGGAATATAAAGAGAGAAAGGCCATTTAAGTTTGTTAAACATGACAAAGTTAAAGTGATGGCCAAGTGTCCTAGAGAAGGTTGTGATTGGTACATCTATGCTAGAAAGTTGAGTGGGGAAGGCAGTGTGCAAGTTAGAACCTTTCAAAAGCAACACAAGTGTGGGTTCTCTTACCATAATGAAAGTGTAAGATCAAGTTGGGTGGCAAAAAATTACTGTGAGACAATTAGAGAAAATCCGAAGCTAGATCTTAAGAGCTTTACAAATAAGATAATGAAGGAAAATAAATGCTTTTTAAGCAAGTATCAAGGCTATAGAGC